TGTTTATTGAAAATAGCGTGTAGTATAACTGAATAAGTCAACCTTTCCCTTACTTCTTTTACCATTTGGAAATTGCTTACATCTTTTGTTCACTAAGCATATTGTTGGCCTTGTTCCAATGAAAGCTTTCTTTAATAAAAAACCTAAATTAAATTAAAGAAGAGAAAGGGATATTTCCAGTTTAGATTAGTTTTAAGGAGGATTCAAGAGGAATTTTTCACGTTGCAAAAATTTCCACTGAAGTAATGGGATAATGCCCTTTTTAAGGTCGTTTTTAAGGCAGGCTTCTGAACAGATGAGGATTAGGATCTGTGCTTATTGTGGCAAGTCATTACACATTACAGTCTGCAAAGCATGGTCAGACAAGGATCAGAAGGCAGTGTTTGTACTGCATGCTTTGAATTTGAAAATGCTGCAGTATGGACTAGCACAGGTGAATTAGTTGTTGCCTCTCTAGCACAGGATCTGTGTTTTCTTTTTGGTGCTGTGCCTGGCACATCAAGACCAAACCATGTGTCATTCTGATGGAAAGCAAGCCGACGACAAGGCAAAGCAAAATGATTTGCTTAAATTTCCTAGACCAGTCACCTGTGCTAGGTGCTTAAAGTTAGAGGGGATGAATACTTACTCTTAAACACCTGTAGGAAAACAGTGTTACACTAAATCATGAGCATAAGGCATCTGAAATGTCCCTAGCTTGAAGGATCTCCTTCAGCCACAAACTGCAATGTTCCATTTTGAGTTATTATTGGAAAGTTATTACTTCCTGTGAAGCTATCCATGGGCTTATTTCCATTTTTGCCCGTATTTTAAGAAATTTTTGCTCTATTTAATTCTATTTTTTTTAGTCTTTTTTTTTAGACTTTTTTTAGTCTTTTTTTCACTGGATCTGTATACTGACATGTAATGTCATCTGCAATGATTTGTCTGAGACCCAGTGATGGCACTCACTACTGTTGGAGGCTCATCACAGATTTAAGTGACTAATTCCTTATGGTTTTATCCCAAAAATCACTGTCAACAATGCTTTTTTATCAAGAGCTTTATTACCCTGGTATATTGTGAATATAAGGAATAGTCAGGATATTTTCCCTTGACCTTTGCGGGGGGATGTTTGTACCACATTCTGGAGCTTATATTCTGCTGCTTGAAATGATTATAAAGGTTAACAGTGCCTTTAGAAAAGCAACCAAAAAAAGAAAAAACAAAACAAAATTAAAAANAAAAGAAAAGAAAAGAAAAGAAAAGAAAAGAAAAGAAAAGAAAAGAAAAGAAAAGAAAAGAAAAGAAAAGAAAAGAAAAGAAAAGAAAAGAAAAACAGTAACAAGCAGACCTATGGTCATTTACAAAAGTAATTCTCTTTGCACTGTCCCTTTTTGAGCAAACTATCCTTGAATAGATCTAGCTTAAGATTTTAAACACCAGAGCTATCTATTTTAAATTTACTTTCTCCACTTAAAGGAGAACACTTAGTTGGATCACTGACTTCTTTATTTGTAGAGGACTATACAATTCAGCTTCATGTATTTCTTAGCCAGGTAGACAGTGTACTTACCATAACATGAACCCAGCTATCATGTAATTCAATATGAGATGTAGTAATGGACACAAAATACCCACTGATTTTGGAGTTCAGATCCAGTGGGAATGTAAATTAAATGAATATATTTATCCTGGGCTGAATTCATTCAGACATTGTATCTTCAGTCTTACTGTAAAAGCAAATGTTTTAAGTTAGTAAAGAAGTCAGATCATTAGGGAATGCAGGTACAAACAGAAAGAGAAGGTTGTTTGAAATCTACCCAAATTAATGACACATACAATTTCTTGTTGCCATGATCTAACCTGGCAGGCGGGTATACACCACACAACCACTCACTCAATTTTAAAAGCAATTAGTAAATCATCTTAATTTTCACTATTTCTGTTTTAGTGTACAGGAGGGTCTTTGACAGACATTGACCATTGAATGTGCAAGGAAACAGAATTTACTCTCTGCATGCTGACTAAAAACTCACAAATTGTGAGACATTACCTTGAATAGAAAACAGAGCTCATGGCAGATCTTACACATGCAGGAATACTAAACTGTAGTTTGCAGTCAAGAGGAAAAACATGGCTGATATTTGAAAAAGACCCTAAGAATTGACAAATTATGTTCCCATTTGGGTTTATAATGAAAGTCCCATAATAGGAGTAATATGTTTCCCAATGTTCTTAAAGTGGAAGTTCGTTGATGCATTGAGAAGAGGGAATGGCCCTTACATTTCATGCAACAGAGGGTCAAAATCAACTGCCCTTTCAGGTTAACAGTCTCCCCATACCTGACTGTCTAAGGAAATAAATTAATCCTAAATTAGGGTCCATGCACTTAACTGGGCCCATCCAGATCCCTCAAAGAGAGACTCCCTCAATTAAGAAGTGGGAGCAGGAACCTCTTTCCTATATTTAGTGCCTCAGAAAATAATCTTAGTTCTTTCCTCAGAAAATGAAAAACACATTAATTATTCCATGGGTCACAGTGCAGCAATGTATCAGCTCCCAGAAGCTATGAGCAAGAGCATAAGTAAAGAGGTAAATATTGAAGGACTTTAGCATGTTAGCATTTAATAGCAGCAAAACTGGCTTTTGCTGAATGCCCATGGTGCCTAAGCATTGAGCACTGACATTTACAGGTCTCCATATGAGCCAAGACTCCAGTGAAAGTTTCCTGGGATGTGTTAGGGGAAATGTTGCTTAATTTCTCAGTCTTCCTGTTGAAAAAAACATTGACCGAAACATTTTCACCTTGGTGTGAGCTCATGTTCATCTGAAGCCTAAAGTCAGCAGGAGGAAAGTACAGAGATAACTCAATCAAAGGAATACCCTGAAATCTTTTGTGATCTTATTCCTTTTTTGTAATGCTCTAAGCTCTAGGAAAAGGAGCTTTATTTTGATAGCAAGGTCATTCTTTTTCTTTCAAATTTTGTTCTTATATAAAACTGGAACTAATGAAGTAGTGATGGGTAAAAAATTCTTGGATTCAAAATGACAATATTAATTTCTTTGATTTAAAAAGAGTGATGACGGCTTTACACCAGAGAATTTCTATCCTTTGGATTGACCAATTTTTATCAATTATTTTGGGTATTATAATAGCACAGGAATATATGCTTCTCTTATGCTAGTTGGTGTGGAAAATCTCTCAAGAAATTTTATTCTTAAAAGGCAAGGCAAACTGCTAATATGGGAGAAATTTAGATAGGGGTCAGCTATTCAAGGTCAGTGTCAGTCTTTGGGAAGTGTGGACAATAGGAAAAGAGAGGTAACAAATGGAATACATTTTTTGGAAAATAGCATAGTCAGCTATAAGTTTGAAGACACACTTAAAAATAAGCATGTTTAAATATTTGCTTGCTGGAAATCTTGGATTGGCACAGTGTTTGCATTTGCAGGAATCATTGCATGCTGGATTATAGTACTTCAAAGAGTGAGACTCTTAGCTTTCAGTGTGAAATTCTACATATACGCCCATTGTTAAGGCACATTTGTTTGTAAATTAATACCCTGCAGAAAAGTTGCAGATGAAAGAGATCTATTTAAATACTCTGAAAAAACATGGTACTGAAATTCCTGTTCTTTTCCTTCCCTTCCCCGCCCCCTTTCTCTTCATTACTGGTTATTTTCCTGGAGAGCCAACAGCTGAAATCCCAACATCAGGTAAATATTACATTTTTCTAGTAAGCCTCATGGAAGGAGCCAATGAACATACCAGCGTTGATGAATGCATGTTGTTCATTAGCGAGGAACACTGATAACATAAAGCAGCATGGGTGAAGTGACAGCATTGCAGCCACACAGGTCTCTGCCACAGGCTCTTCATCTGGTTATGTGGACTTCACTTCTGCAGCACGTTTTGGTGAGCTAGACACGGTGAGCTAGATCCTCACTGAAAGGGCAGGTGTGCACCAGGTGACACGGGGGCCAGAGGACACTGAAGAAAGTGTTACTACAACTGGTTGGACAATGCAAAGTGCAAATGAGCCATTTGAAGGCAGACAGCTATTTTTCTGCTGCAGTCAACAGGGGGAAACTGAATGAAATAGGCTCAGGTGCCTGAAGTGATATACATTTCTTAATTTCAACCTGCCTGGTTGAATGGAGTCACAGACCAAACGCTTTTGCAGCTGGGGAAAAAGGATGCGGAAAAGGATACAGCACATGCTCTAAGTGAATATAGACTAGAAAAAACACCCCTCAATAAAATAAATCACAATCTATTGCTGCAGAACTTCTGAATGGCAGTTCTAAAGGTCCATCTATCTCCATATCCTGGGAATTTTTGTTTGTTTATTTCTTTGAGATGCTTGAGATCACTCTGGGAAAGATACTTAGAAGCAAGCAATAGACAGAGGACTTCCCTGGTGTATTTTGGCCACAAACAAATAGGTAAATCTGGCAGGAGTTAGGGAATTACAGAATTAAAATGCTAAAGTCTTTATCAGGATTTTCTAAACTACTCTGCAACCAGCAATATTCAAACAATTCAGACAACTCTACACGAAGAACTGCTACTGCCACTAAGTGTAGCAGGCACTGTTGCAATATTACAGACATTGTAAACATGCCATGAGACACATTTACCACAGTAATTCTTCCAGGGAAATTACTGGGGAGAGAATCTTTGTGCAATGTGCTTATTGTAAAAGCTCTGCATTTCTGATGCCTGACACTTAATGTTATTTCTTTGCAAATCTTTCTAGCAGCAAAAAAAACAAAGACAACTAAGGAAAAAGAAGGTAGGAATTTACTCCATGTTTTCATACATATGTAGAAGATAACAATAAAAATAGCATGAGATTGCAAATTTGCATGTATTGCTGTTTGAGGCAACCCTTAAAATATCTGTGTTAATTCTCAAAGAATTGTACTTGAAAACTCTGGGTAAAATCTATTCAGAAGTCAGTTTACAGAACTTTAACTGTGCTACTTTTTCTTTGTAGAAAAAACAACTGAGAAGAAACAGCTGAAAAATGAAAAAACTAAAGGTAATAAAGGGATTAAAATCTCTGCAAACAGCAATAAAAATGCAAACATTCAGATTTGGGGGCTTTTATGGGATTGGAAAGAGGAGCTCTTTTAGTCTTTCTACACGCATGCTAGTAAGCCAAAATGATGAAATTGTACATAAATCCCCAGTAATTGAATGTCTGGTGCCTCCTTTGCATACGAGTATCAAGGATTACCTCAGTGCATCCAATCTGCAGCGGTGCCCTGCCTGTGACCCTCCCTGGCTGGCACAGCTGTGACCTGTCCAGCCCCCCAGCAGGATGAGCAGTTCCCTCTCAGTCTGCTCCCTACTGAGGTAGTGCAAAGTTCATCCCCATAGCTTTTCTGATGGCTCAGGTCACCAGCATCGTGCTGGAAAATAACAGCACTGATGACAAGGAGCCCTTTTTTATACACAAGACAGACTTCATGATCACCCATATTCTGGCTAACATCCTGGACACAGCACTGCCTTGAATGTTTCCTCACAGTAACATGAAAATGGAGAAATGGTTTCTATTATACCTCTAAAGAGAATTAATAGCAATAAATTACAGTATTTTATTAGGTAATTGATTGAAGGCATGAATATCTCCTCTAAGTTAGTTAAATGCAATGACTCGTATATAAATTTTGCATATTGAAATCCCGAGCCTCAAAGGATAGCAGTGGCACTGGTGCAAGTTCACTAAACTACTGTCTAGAAGCAGTTTGCTTATATGGTTATACTGGACAGAAAAATTTATCCGTTTAAATTACGCACTAGGAGAGTCAGGCTTTAAAAAAAATCTGGTTATAGAAATTCCTGACAGACGATTCCAAGAAACAAACGTGTTTCTTATCGGAATTTCTTTCCATATTTTGACCTGAAACTGTAAATTAATTTATTATCTATGGGTTTTTTTATGTGTCCCACCAGTAAAAGAAGATCCAAGACATCAAAACGTGACATCAGGTACATGATTTTCCTTTATTGAAAAGGATTCAGGAAAGTTATGATTTGTTGTTTGCTTTTGTTGGGTTTGTTTGGGGTGTTTTGTTGTTGTTGGGGAGTTTTTTTGGTTTGTTTGTTTTTGTTGTTTTGTTGGGGGGTTTTGTGTTTTTTGTTTTGTTGTTTTTTTTTAAGGGAGATCACACTTATAATATTTTTACATTTCTAATTCAAGTCTATGGGACAAGATGTGAGACAAGCCAGGCAAATCAAATCCATAAATCTTGTTCTTGTGAAGAATGAATTGCTGAAATGGTATTGCTTTACCACCTTCCTAAATTTTTAAACATATATTCATCTGATTACCTTAAAAAACAAGAGGTCAATAGTTAATCTGGCAGTGCAGTATTTAAAACGAATATATTCTCCTCATAGAAAATCTTTTCTGTAACAAGGTCACACAGGGAGAAACATGTTCAGTTTTTCTTCTCTCACATTAATTATCTCCCATCACAGTCTGCCCCAACTCCACTCCAGCAAAAAGGGTGAATAAAGATGGGCATCTCAGGAGAAAATCTCCCTCCATTGTGTAATCATGTTTTTACTAGTTTACAGCAAAAGGAAATATATGTTCCAGATTCTTGACAAGTATAAATTAAATTAATAGCTATGACTTCAGGGGAACTGCATTATTTCATGACAGACAAGGATCAAATCTCACCTGAGGTCTAACTGGTTTACACAGAAAATATCTGCCATGTGTGAATATGGTTCCCCCTAACGCAACTTAAACTTAGTTAAACTAGTCTTAAACCACTGAGGAAAATATTTTACTTCTAATCATCCATCATGTTTCCTTGTACATGCCTTTTTGACCCCTTTACTGTAAGTAGAACGATTTAGAGTCCTGCAACCATGATATAAAATGGCAATATATGTATCTATTTATTTAGAAATATCTATTTATCCATATGTAGAAACTTTAAACCATAGAATAATAAAAAAGATACCGAAGTATAAAATAAGTGCAGAACAATCTGTTTTCAAGGAAGAGAAAATCCAAATGAAGTGCTATGGTAAAATTTGAATTTGTTACCTTATGTATTATATGAAAATATTTGCCTACATGGCTCACTTTGTTTTATAAGGGCAACTACATTTACGTAAAAGAACAGCTTTGCTTTTTTTCATTGCATTTTCTTTAAAAGGAACACAGAAATATGGAGTCAGATGTAGACTTTAATTCTTCTTGATTATTGTTATCAACTGACAGATACAGAAGGTAGAATACATGTCATCAAAAATGTATTGCTATTTAATTAACACAGAATTTTTATAGATCAGGAAGTGCTAATAATAATATATAACCAGTACATTAAACCAAAGATTTTGCAATGAAAGAATTCTCCTATGCATCAAAATCCCAAATTTAGTGTAAAACAAGAATGTACTAAAAATTTTCTATCACTGGATTTTCCCCTGCCCACCACCCTCCTACAAAGTTTACATCATTTAAAAATCAGTTTCTGTGGCTTTCATTTACATTAATTATTATCATTGTTTAATTTAGTTTTACATTATCACTGGACAATTATTCTCGACTGAATGTTTCTCAGATTATAAGCAGCTCTGTGCATGCAAAATCAGTTCTTCATAACTGCCTTTGCAGACAGAACTTAATAGTAAGTGTTTTCAAAATATTCTCTGCCCACTGAAAAGAATAGTTAGCTTTCAGACAATGGATGAAAGGCTTTCAGAAGAACATCAAAGTTACTCTTTTATGCATTTTGTTTTTAGGTATAAGTTACTCTTTTATAGATGTTGCTTTTAGGTATTTACTCAAATTGGGAATTTAAAAGTTTAGACCAAGTCCCAGGTCATGTGTACTTGAATTGCAACTTAATAACTTTTCCCTATTCTGTATGCAGATGAAGCCAGTGGTTTTTTCCCAGTGCACTGACTACTAATTTTTTTTTCTGATAAATGGAAGTAGAAAAGGATTTACACATTCTGTGCTAATCTAAAACTTTAAATACTAAATCTTCATTCAACCTTCAAAAGCTGAATAAAGTAGATTCCCATGTTCTTAGATTTTTCTCAGAACCCACCAGGAATTCTGGGAACTTCATTTTTATCTCTATTTTATAACAAATGTATTTGGAAGCACACAAAAGAAGGTTTTTTGACTCTTGGAATGAAATTTAAAGAGTGTACAAATTCAGTTCTCTAGTGAGGATTATCTACCATACTCTTTATATGAGCATCTGTACACTTACACACTTTGTTGCTTGTTTCAAGGCTAATATCAGAGAAAGAAAATCTAAATTGATCAAAAGTTTTATTTATTCTAACTACCTTCCAACTGCCCTCTTGAATGAAAACTCTGGAACCAATGCATATTGCATTTATAATACAGTTAGTTGAAGGTGTTGACATTTTTACTGCCCACAGATGTGCAAGTGTGGCAGAGATAAAGAGAAGCTGTGTTGCAAGAGCATGAAAAGTGAGAATTAATGAAACTGATACTATTCTTATATGTTGTTGTTTTTTTTAAGTAAAGTGTGGATTATTCTCAAGGTCAAGTGAAACCAAACCACACATGATAACTTCCTTGTAAATAGATGAGTCATAAATAGACTTACATAATTTGTACATCCACCCTCAAGACTTACATAATTTGTGCATTTACCCTCATACATTATTAGACATTTGAAACTTTCTTTGACATGAGTGAAACTTTCTTTGATGTGGGAACTATTATAACTACTGTTTACTTAAAGAACTTGTGCTTCTGTGAAAACTGAAATTAACATTAAGCAGAGTTGGAACACTTCTTATATGAGCATACAATGCAAGAACTTTTATGGAATGAAAAGCTAGATTTTTCACCTGCTTCTGCAGTAGATAGAGATTCTCAAATGCAATACCAATTCTCAAATATTTTCTAGCATAAAGAGCAATCATTTCATCATACTATCAATACATATTCAATGCTACTTATTAATCACTACAAGAAAACCTCAACAACTGCAGGGGCTGAATTCATTACATGTCTTGTAAGTGTGTGGAGATTGGTTTATTAGTGAGGTTGTTTCTATGCTTTGCACTTTCTGTCTAGTAATATATTTTCAAAAGCAAAGATGATTTCAAAAAAAAGCAGAAAGTTTTATTTGATGTGAGGTTTGATATGACAGCCATTTGGGAAACTATTAAGATTTCATCAGTGCTAAGGGAACATAAACTTGTCAGCAGTGCAATGTATGAGATTTTTCCCATATATAATTATTTTGAAAGAGAATAAGACCACTTCACTTTTTCCTTGGCTCTAGAGCATTTGAAAACTTTTGAGTAAAATATGATCTTTTTCATTGTTCTGAAGTAGGAAGTTTTTTCAATGTCATTAAGCACAAACATTGTTAATATTCTATAATATAGAAGCATTGAACAACTTTTAAAAATATTGTGCAATAGTCAAAAGAGAAGGCAAGAACTTAATCTCTGCAATGCAGGTAGCTCTGACCTATAGACAGGTAATGAACTGCAGATACTATATTCTCTACTCTCCTTGCCACCCAGTCTCTGTGTCTCAGATGTATGATGGTTCTGATATACTCTCAGCAGTTCCTTCCAGAAATTCAAGCTGCATAAACTTATACTGAATAGAATTTTCTCACCGAAATTCAGCAATAAATCATTAATATTGATGTTGTCGTTTTCTGGACATAAGAAAGTCTGCTGTTTGCTAGAATATCATTAGAAGGAACTGACACTCTGAGAAGTTTCAGAATTTATTGTAAAAGACCTGTTCTCATTTATTTTCAAGACCTGTGTCTCTTTAGATTATTCTCATTAAGATTTTCTGGGGCGTTCATCACACTCCAGTACAAGAACTCAGCATTAGAGCAGGATGAAGTGGGCACTAAGACTGCTTGCAGGAGAGTCCATGTAGAACATCCTCCGTTCTGTGGATATACAGGAATGTCTCAACATTTCATGTTGGTCAGAATTGTGAGGACCAAGCCTGTGTATGTAGGTTTTCCAGCAAGTTGTTGTTAGTCATTCCATTATTCTGAAGTTGACTCTTTAGCAAATACCCGGAGAATAAATCTCGTCAGGCTTGTCTAAATGAAGACCCGGAGGAATACTGCCCATTTAGAAGATGCATATATTTAAAAGAGCACAGTTAAACCATGCTAAATGCTGGAGTGGTCATTTATTAAGAATTAAGGTGACCTTGATTTAAGTTAGTTTAACCTACTGTGAAATTTTCACCTGAGGCTGCTTTAATTCCAAATGAGCATATACAAAACATTTTATATGGACTAATTAGCCTCTTTTTAATTTACCTGGAATTAATCTTGCTGATTATTTCTGTGTAGAAAAGACATACAAGGGGGAAATTTCAGCCATATTTTGGTAACTAGGTAAAAAGTAAACATTAGGTTCTGTCCTGAAACTGACTAAATGTCACTGGAAATTTTCTAAAAGATTGTAATAAGTTTTGAAATTCAAAATCTGTAAAGACACACCAAAAGGAGAGCAAAATATCAGGATTTATGTTAATGGTGAGTTTATAAATAGCCTCTAATCACAGTGGCATTATACTTTAAATTATGAATTCCAGAGATTTTATTTAAATGCCCAAAGGTTTAAGTTCTAGCTATCTTTCAAAACAAAAAAACTTCACAGTGAGAATCTACAAGCACCTTGGGTTCATGTCGTTTCTTCTACAGGAGATTCTTAACATCTATCCCTAGCTCTAAATTAATCTTTTTTTTTAATTATTTTTTGCCATATTTGGTAATTTAATTACCTTGTCTAGATTAGTTTTCAATTGGAAATTAGTAAGATTGAATCTCAATCATCTTTGCCTTATGACAAGAGTTATTTGGAATCAGTTTAAAGGCAGCCTCCCCAGAAAGCAATCATAAGTTTTCACAGCTATCAACACATTGAAAAAAGAAGAGATGATTCCTATCCGTTTAACAACTACATTCAGTTTAGTGTAACAACTAAATATCAGC